AACCTCAGGATTCCAAGCGCACTCCTCTAACCAGTAGGCCAACATTACCACAGCGTTTTTAGCTATGTTTAAAACAGAACTACGGAAGCCCTGCGGAGCTTTGATGGAAGTCCTGATCATCTGAGGTGGACCTCTGTTCTTTGCCTCTGACTCAATAATTTCCTGCTGTTGGTTGTTACCATCGGACTCGATGCTGAGCTGGTGAAAGTTTTTGAGTAAACAATCAGATGGTAAACGTGCCAACTGATTGTTTACAGGTTGTTGCTCATGTGCTGCCAAAAATGATGTGATCCTTTGTAAACTGTGTTTTGTGATTTTCCTTTAGGTCTTCGTCGCGCTCTTCGTCCTACACAGGCTCAGGCTCGTCCCGTTCCCGCAGCCGCTCGTCTTCATACAGCTCCTACTCCAGCCACTCCTCTCAGCACAGCTCCTTCAGCGGCAGCCGCTCCAGGTGCGTCGTCCCGCTGCTGGTCACAGTCGTCCTCCTGCACAGGAAAATGATTTAACTCTAACTGAAAAGCAGAAACTAAATAAACTAAACTTGGTCTGCTCCCCTCTTTAGATCTCGATCATTTTCCTCCTCGCCCTCACCGAGTCCAGCTCCTCAGAGGATTGCCAAGAACAAACCGGACCCCCCACCTGTGGCAGCAAAGGGGTAAATCTACCTCTCTACCTGAATTAGTTACACCTCCTAGATTTTGGTGTATATCCATAGAGAGAAAAAACCCATTTTAATGTCTGCATTCTGAGATTTCGCTTCGATTATTTGAAGTTCCGTTTGTGTGTTTCAATTTCCCCCAGCATGCCTCCAAAGCCAGGTGTGGCCCCCCCTCCCCGCAGGGAAAAGCCTCCCCTCAAAAAGGCTCCCAGTCCTCCACAGCCTGGAGGACCTCCTAGCAAACCCTTTAAACCCCCAACAGAGGGAGGGAAGCCTCCTACCAACCCCAGGGAGACGGGTGGTGCGTCTGATGGGCCAGGAGCTGGACCTCCGCCTCCGCGGGAACCTGGAAGACCTCCAAACCCCAGGGAGGGTAGGCAGAGGGAGCGACAGCAGCATCCGCCTCGCAGGTACGGCTCTGGTTCATTGTCAAAGCCAAATGAAAGGAAAGTATCAAATGAGTCTATAGTAAAATGATCAATGATAAAAACAATAGTAATAGTGATTAATGACTAGGGATGCA